TTTTTTTTTTTTTCGTTATTCCATGTCGATTTCTTTTGGGGATACTTTGTACTACACTTTGAAACATTACTGTGTGAAAATTAGAGTGAGTTTATTTCAGTTAAGATGTTCCTACTTATCTTTGTTTGTCCTAAAATGTGATTGTTTTGTTTCAACAGTTGAGAAAAAATGATAGTTTCATGTACTTTCTCCTTCTCTTCATTGATTATTATTGTGTTTGTTGTTTTTCTTTTGCTGTTACTGTTACTGTTACGAGTGGAATATCATGTTGCTTAAATGCTATGCAGTGGGAAAATTGCCAGCTAGTCGAGCAAATCCTGATATGCTGGCAGCATTTAGACATGAGGAGCGAGAAGAGACAATGAAGCTATTGTCTGATTACCTGACGATTTGCAGCAGATCCAAGGTATATTTCTTCTTGTGACTAATATCTATGTAACTTACATTTTTGTTTTTCGACAAAGGGTAAATTAATGTTTAATACAATTTTGTTCGCCGTAAGTATTACCTATGAAGTCTTTACTTCATATTGAGAGGGGGTGGCATATTTAATTTATCCTCCCATTTTTCCTCTTCAGTCATCTTTGCCCTCATATATGAACCCCATAAAATATTTGGGGTCATTTTTCCCAAGTGAAAATTGATCCCATTTTATTGGAGTGATCGGTGATGATTTATGCTGATTAAATGGTACACATTATATGCAGGTTAAAGCAAGCTTCGTTACAACTGAGAGTGATGAAGTTCAAAGAGGAATTTTGGACTTGGTAAATCTACACACCATCAATAAACTTGTTGTTGGAGCTATCCCAGGGTATGTCTCACTTTTCTCGTAAGTTGTTGGAAATATAAACTTTTAGCAAATTGGCTGTTGAAGTCTCGCTCGTCGGCATTATGTCTCGAATTCCTTCTTTGAGTTTTCGATTTTGTATTCTTGTCTTAATAAGCAAGTGGTAGCTCATTCAGCTATGCTCTTATCTTAATTCTCCCCTTTTTTTTTAACTGATTGGTTTTGGTTGTTTGCGGTAAGGTTATGGGGAACAAAACCTGTTTTTCTTTGCAGTAACCCTTGGTAATGTGACACAGTTTTACCAAAAAGGGCTCGTGCGAGGCCTCTTTCCTAGCAAAAAACGCTCCCTCTTATTGCGAGATGTGGTACGTTAACAAAAGAAAGCTGATATGGACAAGACCAGCTTCAGGAAGCTCAATCATTCATCCGCAAAGCTGTCAATTAGCCAGCCCCTCTGCGCACAACCTAGCCTCATTGTCCCTAAACTCTGCCCAAACTAAGGTACTTCCTTTTATTTTTGTTTCTCTTGTTGGGTGTGTGACTCATAACTCTCATTTTGCAGTTTCTCAAGAGTGGGTGTGATACCATCTATAGGCGTAGCCTGTCCTCTTCAGCAAACATGTTCCCAAGGGTTTCCTCCGTCTCAACAAAGACTTTAGAAGAGTTTTTGTGCAGTCAGCTTGAGGAATTGATGCGGGAAGTTCATGAGTCGAGAGATGAAGCCTTTCTGACGCTTCTCGAGCCTAGAGTGTTAGAAGATGAAGCCCTCGAGGCATTTAGTAAGGTGAGGGAGCACCCAAAAGTCAAAATGCTCAAGTTGATTCAATTCAGAATATGAATGCCTCTAATGTGTCGTACGATGAATCTAATCCAATATTCAACTCTTAAAATTATGAACACATAAGCCTTTCACAATGTTTTGGAAGACTTTGTATAAAAGAAATTCCCACAACACCTAAATTTGAGCATATCGTAAATCCGAGAGCATATGAAAATGGAAAATACTAGTTAGACTATCTATCCTTGCAATATAATAAAATCTACAAAGAAGAAGGAATAATATAAGTTTAGGTGTCGTATTTCTACTATGTTTCAAAACATTGTATTTGTGGTACATTGGGAACTTGTCATATATCCGAAACTGTTATGATCTATGTATCAGGTAAAAACTCTGGAAACGTCTCATTCTCACGAGGAGAAATTAAGGATGGAGGCGGAGGACACACTAGGAAGCATAATACAAAGAGAGGAAAAGCTCCTTGAGGAAAATGCAAAGTTAACCCAGAATCTGCACAAGAGTATGCGAAACATAAGCGTCCTGGATGGACGGGCCCACGAAGCTGAGCACAGGTGTGAGGAAGTTGCAGAGGAACTAAAGCTCGTCCAAGCTTCCGTAGCGAGCCTTCTTGACGAGAAGCAAAAGGTACAGAGGCAGAAAAACGAGGCAGCAAGGTGGCTGGACGGGTGGAGAAATCACGAGAAAGTGGTGATTGGATCAAAGGTGGAGGAAGAGGAGGTGATGGAGTGCGACGCGGAGGCTGCCACTTGCAATTTCTGTGAGAGCCTGCAGATAGGACAGGGAGAGTATGGAGTGGTGTACAAGGGTGAGATGTCTGGCCGCAAGGTTGCTGTAAAGAAGCTGCATGCTCATAACATGCAGAGGCAGGCCGAGTTCAACACAGCAGTAACCATTCTCTCTACATTCCATTTCTATTTCTATCCATAAAAAAAATAGAGGTTTTGAATTCGAGTTGAGTTTCGGTTGTTTCCAAAAATTCAGGTTCAAGTTGTAGGCAAACTACGGCATCCCCATCTCGTGAAACTAATGGGAGTATGCCCTGAGTCGTGGTGCCTCGTGTATGAATACTTACCAGGTGGCAGCCTTCAGAACTACCTTTCGAACAAAAGGAACATGAGCGCCCTCGGGTGGAAGACCCGAGCACGAATCGTAGCCGACATTGCGAGTGGCCTCCACTGCATGCATTTCTCAAAACCAAAAGTGGTGCACGGGAACCTGAAGCCCGAAAATTTATTCCTGGACCATGAAAACAGGTGCAAGATAAGTGACTACGGGGACAATATGATTTTGCCCAACAGGGCCTTCCGCTGTTGTTCGGGCTCGGGTGGTGTTTGCTTGTACACGGATCCTGAGTCCTACAAAACCGGCTCACTCACCCACATGTCCGACATTTATTCTTTCGGGGTTATCATACTCCAGTTGGTGACCGGAAAAACAAAGGGGAGAATAGCCGGGAAGGTGCGGAGAGCAGTATCGGCAGGAAAAAAGATTGCATCTTTGTTGGATGCGTCGGCTGGGGACTGGTCGGCATATGTGGGCCGCCGATTGGTGGAGTTGGGACTGCAATGCTGTGAAAGGAACAGTCGGGATAGGCCAGAAATGACAGAGTGCCTGGTCAAGGAGCTCAACTGCATGCCGTTCTTGGAGGAGCAAGCCGTGCCATCTTTCTTCCTCTGCCCAATTCTTCAGGTAGGTAACTGCTGTTTTCTTCTTCGCCTATGATTGCTGGCTCATGTTATATTAATTTTCTTTTTCATGTTTGAATCTCAGGAAATAATGCATGACCCTCATGTTGCAGCCGATGGCTTCACGTATGAGGGGGAAGCCTTACGGGGATGGCTGCAAAGTGGTCGTGAAACTTCTCCGATGACGAATTTGAAGCTGAAGCACTTGGATCTAACTCCCAACTACTCCCTCAGGCTTGCTATTCAAGAATGGATTGCCAATCTCCAGATTACTGCTACCTCTTGATTTCATTCTATCTTTGCACGTCAAATGTAGTAGTACCATGTAGTGATGGGACTTGTGCACAGATTATTACAACAATTACTCATTCCTCTCTATTGATTAAAGAGCAATTCATTATCCTCTCGTTTACTGCTTCTATTCTGCATGGTATTAGATGAACCAATCATTGGAAATATGTGGCGATGACTCCAAGTTTATGTTTTTAACCTTGGACAACATTCTACTTTAAGTAGGTGGAGCTCTGCGTCAGTGCTTAGTCCTAGACATTTGTCTTATTTCACTTACCATCTTTAGAGTTTTATCAATACAAGGCTCGAAAGATGGGTAAACTATCAATGCGGGGCCTGAAAGATTTTTTTTCTCAATTCGGAACTTAAATGTTATAAAACTATCAAATTAAAGACTCGAAAGATGGGTAAACTATCAATACGGGGCTTGAAAGATTATTTTTCTCAATTCGGGACTTAAATGTTATAAAACTATCAAATTAAGTCTAGAATTAAAAAAAATTCATAACACCATTAAATCTAGAGTTTTTTAAAAAAATAATATTTAATTATTACATTTTATTTTCATATTCATTCACATTTTTCAAAATTTTGCATTCTTCCATCAATTTTTTTCTACTCTTTAACTCACTTTTTCATTCAAACATTTTTACATAATTTATAACCAGTCGTACTCTTGAATGTTTATAATATTATTATCTTCATAAATATATGTGTTTGTTGTTAAAAAGAATAAAGTAGGTAATTATATTAAGTAAATAATTAATATGATTTTTATATTTAAATTGATTATTATGGTTATTGAAATTTCATGCATATGCATTGATAATTTAAAAATGTGAATGAATATGAAATAAAATGTAATAATTAAATATTATTTTTTTTTTAAATTTGAATACCAATCTTTTTTTTTTAACTCTAAATTTAATGGTGTTATGAGTTTTGTTAATTCTAGATTAAATTTGATAATTTTATAACATTTAAGTCCCGAATTGAGAAAAAAAATCTTTCAGGCCCCACATTGATAGTTTAACCATCTTTCGGGTCTTTAATTTGATAGTTTTATATTATTTAAGTCCCGAATTGAGAAAAAAAAATCTTTCAGGCCCCGCATTGATAGTTTACCCATCTTTCGGGCCTTGTATTGATAAAACTCCTAAATCGTATTTTCGTTTCTAGTATAATACCCGTGTACTTCACGGGTGATTTTATTT